GAAGAGTTGTATGTGTCCTTTGTTCTACATTGGAACATACTTCATGGAAATGAGCTAAAGGAAAAAGTGGCACAGATTCCAGTCCCATTATTTATAACAGCATGAAACTGGAAACAATCCAAATTTTCAGCTTTAAAGTATTACTTAAACAATGGTACCTAACTGATTTGAAATGCTTTGTAACAATTAAAAATAACAAACATGTGGATACGGAAATGTGTCCATGAGAAAATCTTAATTCGAAAATGCAAAGCACACTAAGTGCTGACAATATTGTGGAAAAACTGGAATCCATATGTATCTATTGGTTGAAAGCTAAAGTGATACAGTCACTTTGTAAAACAATATGGTTTTATATAACTCAAAGAGTTAAGTGTAGGTTATTATTTGGTCCAATAATGTCATTCTTAGGTATACACTCATGATACATCAAAACATTTGCCCACACAAAACCCAAACACAAATATTCATAGCAGCAGTATTCATAATAACCAAAAAAGGTAGAAACAGAGCAAATGTCCATTGTCTGATGAGTAGATAGAAAAAAGATAGTAATGGCCATACAAGGGAATATTATTTGTCCATACTGTTTCTTGCTTCAAGATGGGCAAATTTGAAAATATGTAAGTAAGAGAGCAGTCACATAAAAACATATATGATATAATTTACATGAATGTCCAGATTGGGCAAATATTTATGGACAGAGAGTAGATTAGTGATACTTTCTGGCTTGAGGGTGGGCAGGTAGGAGCGAGAAGATTGGAAGAAGACAGCTAAAAATATATGATTCCTTTTTAAGTGATATTAGTGTTTTAAAACTGATTGTGTGATGGCTGAATAACTGTGAATATAATAAAAATTATTGGATTGTACTCTTTAAATTAGTAGATTGCATGGTATGTCAGTTATATCCCAATAAAATGATAGTTTTTTTAAAAAAAATCATTGAACTGCACATTTATAATTGGCAAGTTTTAAGAAATATATATATGTATCACTTCAATTAGGCTGTTTTTTTTTAAAAAGTCCAAAGAGATTGCTGCTTTGAAGGTACCTATATTTTTGTAAAATAAACTGGAAGTTAGTTGAAGTATAACAGAAAGATACAAGCTTTGAAGGCCAACAAAGAATGATTGTATTCTTCATCTTTCTTCTTACTATAATCTTATCTGAGTTTTAGTTATTTCCTTTGTAAGACAGGGAAATTAATTTTCACCCCATGTGATAATTTTGAAGCATAAATGTTTAATGGGCTTGTTTTCCTGCCTTTTAGGATTGCTTGAGCATGAGGTTGAAACATGCAGCAGTAGCCAGGCATGGTAGCTCATGCCTGTAATCCCAGCATTTGGAAGGCTGAGGCAGAGGGATTGCCTTGAGTTCAAGGTCAGCCTTGGCTACCAAGAAAGTTCAAGGCCAGTTTGAACTACATAGTGAGACCCTGTCTCAAAGAAAAATATGTGGCAATAAAAAATGTGATAACCTATGTGAAACAGATTTGAAGGTTAACAATTTCATAAAAGAATAAGATAATCTGAATCTCAATTATATACATATAGTTTAGAAAACAGCATTAACATAGCCTCAGCCTCAAAAAGAAAAGACTCTTCCTTTGCCTAAATTCCTTGAAAAATGGCTTTATAACTGGCTGTATGAAAATTAGAAAAAGCTTCCCACATTCCAAAAATATACACTTGTTATAACGGTAATTTGAGGGTGACAAAATGGAGCTAAGGTATGTAATGTTAAGTTCCTGTCACAGTGTGTTCTGCTGCTCTAACCTTCCTCGCCTTGGGCCTGCCCCTGAGGTGGAATGATGAGCCTAGCTAGCTAATACCGGAACTAAGCTGCTGTACAGGAAATTGTTTTCTCCATACGCAGACAAGAGACATTCATGCTTTCCCACAAGTAATATTTGAAGAAAGAAACTTCTGAATTTTTATAGAACAATCTTCTCTCCTCACTTAACATCATAATCAAGATCCTATAGACCTACCAGAAAACCTGGCATATGCTAAGTACTCAATATATAGTTGCATAATGAATGAATGATCAGAATTTACATAAAAGTCTAAGGCCAGAATAGAATAGTTTATCAATGAGAAGAGACTACTAAACTATACACCATGAATCTCAATAAGATCTAAACTCATGTAACAAGCTACACAGTATTATCACTTCAGGACTTGCTTATTTTTACTAAATCTCTTCAGCCTACACAAATTCCCCTCAAATATCATGTTTATTGTTATGAAGACATGGGGTTACTGAACCAGTTATTCAACCTGTTAGACTGCACATAATTTCAAACATTTCAGAGAAAAATATACAAAAACCACTGCTTAATGAGTGCACTGTCCTCTACTCTTTAGAATCTTCACCTAATCTTGTTGGAGAAGGGAGCCTGACAAAGCTTCATCTGGGGAAACTGTTTCCACCTCATAAAGACCAGAGGCAAACCTCCTTAAGGCCAGGAGCTCTGCTTTGAGAACCTTTCTTATAGAATTATGGAGCCTCCCTCAACTCCAGGAACCAGGTTCTCAGTCTCACCAGAAAAGCAGGCTTTGAAAGAGCTCAAGATACACTTCTTATCTACTCCCTCAGAACTCAATATTCTCACATTGTGGCACAACCTCTGGATCCTTTCACTCCTGGGAGACATCTGCTTGAAATTTCCTCAGCCGCTTGTGAAACCTTGTAGCTTAAAGAGGGAAAACATAAAGACATCCTGCTCGTCACTAGAGGTGGGTCACCAGAGATGCAAAGAACAGCTGCAGATCAAAAGCAATGAGCCAGGCATGGTGGTGCACATTTTTAATCCCAGCACTTGAGAGGCTGAGGCTGGAAGACTACTGTAAATCAAGGCTGCTCTGGGGTACATAGTGAGTTCAGGGAAAGCCTGAAGTACACAGAAAACCAGGTCTCAAAAAAATAAAAGAAGAAAATGGATTAGCACCTGCTGTTGAACAATGACACTTGTAAATCTTATCTTGGTTAATCCTCACAGCGGTCTTAGAAGGTTTGTGTTATTTGATTTCTGTTTTATCACTGAGTAAACTGAAGCTCAGAGAAATCTTATAGTCAGTGAGCTAGCTGCTAAATAAGGGTCTAAGTATATGCTTATATCTAAAGCAGCTAAAAATAGTAGAAGCAGCAGTAAACTTTTAGCAATTCTACTCTACACTAGTGATTTGAAAGAAAACCTTGGTTTGAACAACACCATAATAACTCTGAGGTTTTAACAATGCTAATTTTAGGCCTTAATTGTAGTAGCATATGTGTTGTGGTTGTGGTTACAGGAAAGGACTGAGCAGGAAATACTAAGACCTAGATTCTGGCTAAAGAGCAAGATTAACAAATACCTTGAATGATTCTGCTTCTAATGCTCTCTCTTCTTCCAGGAAGATCTACCTCCTCTATGAAAGCTTCCTGACAACCCCCCCCATCCCTAGAACTATGCTCCTACTGTACTTTATTGTATCTCAGTTACAGCCCTTCGTTATCACAATTAGTTTTAGTAATAGAGTCTCCAAACCGCTAGGGTACCTTGAAACTAACACTTGTGACTTAGTCCTTTTTTGTGACTTAGTCATTTTTGTACCCAATATTTTGAACACTTCTGGTAGTTTCACGTCAGTGTTGTCACTCAATAAATCCTAACCATCTCCCACACTTAGTTCCCAATTCTCAATGAGTACCGACTTTTCTTACATCCTGACTTGAGTGAGACATAGATAATTATTGGGTGCTAAGTATCTGAGCCCCTTTCCTGTGTCTGCAAAAACTGCCATTTCCTGAGACATGGCAGGGGACAGACTATATCTTCCCCTTATGGAAGCTGGAAAAGCAGCCAGGAAAAGCTGCACTCCTGCATCCTTGGCAGCTAGAGCACAAACATATGATCTAATCTTGGCTCAACTGATATTCCTGTCCAACTCTTGACTTTGAAGTAAATATCCCAAGAAACTGGATGGTTTAAATTTTGTTCTGGAGTAGCACTGTTGTTCATTGCTTACTGAGAATGACAAGAATAATTTTGTAATCAGGTTTGTGTGGTATAGTTTTACCTGTGACTCTCTTTTGGTTCCTGCTCCTTTTCTAAACTTGATTCTCTTATTTTCCTATCATTTCTGAGATCTCCCTGATATTTCCTGATAAATTCCTGTTTTGATCAAAGTAGCCAGAATTAACTGCTGTTACTTGCAACCAAGAGCCCTGACTTATATACTTAGTGACTTCATGATTCTTAGTCCTGGACCCTGAGAAACCAAAAACCAACAAATATTTATTTCCTGATCCAAGCTCAGTGAGATAAATTACTGTCTCTCACATTGATGTACATTTAACTTTGCATATTTACTCTTCCATTTCATTCTCACAACATTTCTACCTATAGCGTGTGGGGTAGGTGGTAAAACAGTATTTTAATATGAGAAAAGTAAACCTCAGAGTTTAAATGTCTTCCCTGAGTTTCCAAAACTAGTGACAGAACCATCAATAGCTACTGATTTCCAGCCAAAGACTTTTTATGACAAAGTAACAAGGAATGAATAACTTGTAGTAAATTCAAAAAATTCATCCATAAATATTCATTAAGCATCTACTACATGCCAGTCATTGGTTAAGATACCAGGTACTTCTGTGATCTACTTTTTTGAAAGGTCCTCTAAATATCAGTTGAAATATGTTTTGTAATAGCACTGTACATCTGACAAGCTACCTAATATTGCCATTAAAACTTAAGTCAGACTGCTTGGGACCAAACTCTGGTTTCCCCTGATTCCTACTTACACAAAGCACAAGTTATCTGTATCCTTCCTTAGCATCCTGTCTTCACCTCTATGCCTTGAAGGCTGCTTACTGAGAACACCTCTGATTCACTGCCTGAAGAGCATGCTTGATCCTTGTACAAGGGAAACTGGAAATGGCAGCACTGATGTCCTGACAATAGTCCTCTAACAATAGTAATGGAGATTTGGAGAGCAACACCCCAGCCTTCTTACCTCTTGATGGAAATAATTTTCAGCCATATTCCATGCTGTTTCCAATGGGACTGACCTTCAGTTAGCCTCAGTGGTGATGTGCTTGATAGCACACACCTCACTGCACCGTTCTCTTCTCCAATTCATATTTCTAGCCTCCAACTGGGTTTCCTAGGCTACCCTGTAAGTGAACCACCCTTGACAACTTTTCTCAGGTCTGCTCCTGAGGGAATGCAAATGAAGATACCAAATGACTTTGTGAAAACTGCTCAAATAACATCCTTCCAATGAAGGTAATATCTGTCTTGTGGAGACAAATTCATGAAACAACTTAGTCTGACTTTAGGCATATAATCAGCACAGCGTTGGCCATTGTTGTGCAGGCAGAACTTTTGGTTCTCTAAGCACTCACCCACACACGGTTTCACTTCTTGCTTTTCAATCTGAGAAGCTTTACCTCTAGCCCCCCTACCAGACTTCCTGGTTCTCCCCATGCCACAGTCTGTTCTTTACTTCAGCCCTGCTCTCCCTTTGAAACGCTGTCAAAATGACCTCTCTCTTTCATACATCTGTGATCCAGCATGTAGTGTTCCCTTGCCTTGATATATTTCTTTCTTCCCACACTTGTCTCTTGCCTATTAAGCCTCCACTAAAGTTTACGTTTCTAAATTCTCCTCCCTTCTTCTTCTGTCTCACACACACACACACACACACACACACACACACACACACACACACTATATACAAAGAGTGCATGTAACCAAGGTGCGCTTCCCTCTTTCACTGCAAATCACCCAGAATTGCAAATATTTGCTTTATTATCTGTCTCCTTCAGTAGACTGTGATTATCTATAGCAAAAATGACTTCTAACTTCTGTATTTCTGGTCCATACCTTAAAAGCTCATCTCAAAAAATGTAAAATTATTTTGAAAAGTAAGTGAATTTAAAAACACCTTTGAGGCAGGGATATTACTATTTTTTTCAATTGAGGACAAAGGAGCTCAAGCTTCCTGGACTATACAATTAATGCATGGTAGAACAAGAACTCAAAAATGATCCCCTGGGTTCAAGGTTGACCATTTCCTCCACAATATCATGGCTGTGAAGATTTTTGTGCTACATATGCCTAGTATATTCTTCCCATTTTCATGTCCACTTCTTAGAAAATAAACTCCACCTGCAACTTTGGAAGAAAGCTAGTTTTCGTTCAAAATGACCCTATCCTCAGCCATGGTTATTTGGATCAGTAGTTGACACCTGACCAAAGAAGAAGCCAGGTCAGGCCATTCCATCTGAGAATCCACACGAACAGGATTAGCATATCACAAGCTCTGATCCTGCAAGATGACAGAGAATGAGGACAACTGAGATTGACATTTTGGGGCTCCATGATTTGAGAAGCAGGAAGAGGGGATCTACTATGAGAGGCACAGACAAGGCTCCATAATGAAGGAGAAGGAGAACAAGAGGTAGAGGAAAACAGAAAGGGAGAGAGGAGAAATTGGGAGAGGAGGGAGGAGAGAGAGAGGGAGATTTAGTTCTTGACAATTTTTCATTTCCATTCTGGTCTTTCCTGAGTTCTGACAATTCGGTTCTATGAGATACTCCTAATTCTTTACAAAAAATTCCCATTAACTCAGCTGAGTTTCTGTTTTACAAGTAGATAGGGTTATGATACTCATTTACTACATCTTTCCAAGTATGTTTTCCATGTTCAAAGCACAAAACTGTGCTATTTCTTCAGAATCCACCTGCAATTAAGGTAACTGCCAACAGGTGTCGCCAGTTTGCTTCTCCGGAAACAGACTGACCGAGTTGGGACACCACATCCTGATGTGGATCAGTAGGTATGAAAGGAAAAGGCAGGAAGAATGGTGCATAGAAGATGTCAGATTGCACTGAAGGCCTGAGGGAGCTTCCACCCCAGCAAGGGATCTGGAGCATGTCACCCTCCAGAGTGTCCCAACTCTGAATCTCTCTACCTGTACCTCACTCAGCCATTGGACATGGTGGCCCTGGAAAGTGCCTAATTTTGGGCAAAGTGGTTCCCTGCACCTGAGGCAGACACTGAAGGTGCTGACAGTGGAAGGCTGTCTGCTTACCATACTCCCCGTGATCAGACAACAAGTCCTACCCAGAAATGGAATCTGGTTCATCTATTTGTACATCAAGTGATGTGTATGCCATAATTATTGCCTGAAAAACTTTAGCTGGTCACTAAGTGAAGTCATTAAGTTTATGCTTTGCTATATAATGCTCTATTTTTTAAAAAATCTCATCTTTTAAATTAGCTATGCATGAGCCAGACATTGTGGCCCATTCCTATAATCCCAGCACTCAAGAGGGTGAGACAGGAGAATCCATGTGAGTTTAAGGCCAGCCTGCACTACATAGTGAGACCCTGTCTTGAAAAGAAAGGAAAAAGAAAAGGAGAGAGAGACAGACAGACAGACAGACACAGAGACAGAGACAGAGAGTGAGGTTAGCTATGCATCATCATTACAGGTTGAAATAGAACAAAGAGCAAATGAGTTGTTCAAGATGGCACACACCTACAATTCCAGCACCCAGAAAACTGAGGCAGGAGGATTTCAGCAAGTTCTAGACCAGCTTAGTCTACATAGTGGGTTCAAAGCCATCCTGAACTACATGGTGAGACTAGGTCTTAGCCCTCCCCCCACCAGAAAAAGAGTAAATAAAAAATTTAATTAAAATTTTTAGTATTTATGCAACTTGGTACATTTCTGAGTACTTATTGTCTACTTAATATAACCATGGTTCTTCAATACATCTGCATTCAATCATGAATGTAGTACACAGTTATGACTATATGTAGACCTCTTGAAGGGTAAATCAGATCACATCACTTCTTTGACCCATAAGATGCTACATGATCTTGCCATCTTTATGTAACTTCTCTAATCTCTATCATCCCTCTTTTGCTATACTGGCTTCTATATCACTTTAACATTCCAGGTACATTCCTGTTCTATAGCTGTGTTTGTTTCTAAGGGCTATCATAGTGAAGAATGATAAACTAATGACAAAACAGCAGAAATCTATTGTCTCATGGTTCTGAGGGTTGAAAGTATAGAGACTTCCAGGAGAACATGGCAGACAGATAGCAGCAGCTACGGAGGCTCTCTGAAAGACCCAGCTTAGAATTCAGGAATGGTGTGGAGTAAGGAATCATAAGCAAGTGGAGATATGACCTGCTGACCCAAGAATGAACTGTGCTGAGAGAAACCAACTGGGAATGCAATCCTGTTGCTATAACAGGAACAGAAAAGCCTCAGCGTGGAAGGTGGAGCCTGTGCCATTGGAAGCCGTGATTTGGGTTTCCCGCCACCACCGCTGCGTCTGCATCTGCTTGGCAGGGAGAGAGACGAGCAAAAGCTCTGAGAACAGGAATTGGTGAACGGAGTTGAAAGCAGGACGGGTGGGGAGGTGTGTGTTGACCTGCGGTGAGTGAGAGAAACTGGGACTCTTCCACAGTCCAGGAGACTCCAACAGAGGACATTTTGGGACCAGGCAGACTTGCAGGAACAGGGCACTGCAGTGACTTCAGTCATGTATCCCCCTCTCAAGTGGGATTGGTGAGCAGTGCCTAGCCTATGTGGTGCTGCTGGCTGAGACCCAGTAGGCTAGCACAACCCAGATCCCAGCGCCTGAAGGTGACCTGGAGGGTCAGGCCCTGCATAGGCTGCCTGGTCTGCAACTTCCTGGTACGCTGTGGTGGGCGGGAACACCTAGCCGGCACAATTCAATCAGACTGTGGCTGACAGGGAAGGAAGATGGGCCTTCTATATACTCTTGCATATATAAGGAACAAAGAATATGGGAAGAGGCAGCAACAAGAAAGGCTCCTCGGCCCCCAGTCCTGAGAAAGAGGCAATAGCAGACACAGCACCAATAGATATAAAGCGCTATCTCCAGAGCCTCATAGACAAGTTCAGGAATGAAGTTATTAATGACCTGAAGCTAGACATAAGCATAATAGTTAGAGAAACGCTAAGCACCACCCAAGAAAAAACAGATGGTGGAATGGAAGAACAGAAAAAGAGGGGAGAATTGTTTAATGGAGAAAATAGAGAAAGCATAGAATACGTGAAGCAGGTTCAAAGAGATTACCAGGAAACTAAAAACTCTATCGAAAACCGGCATAACAGCTTGAAAGAAACTAAGGACAGATTATCTGAACTGGAGGGCAGATTTGTAATATGGGAGCATGAAATGAAAAACTTAAAAATAACAAAGAAACAAACAGCAATAATACAAAGAGTAGAAGATGATAAGAGGATTTTTAACTTAAGAATTAAGAACATAAAAGAAGAAGTAGGGACACAAACAAATGAACTACAAAAGCTACTCACAGAAATAATCCAGGAGAATTTTCCTAATTTAGCAAAAGGTAAAGATACTCAGTTGTATAAAGCATACAGGACCCCAGCCACCTACAACCCAAACAGAGCAAACAACCAGGCATATAATAATTAAAATTCTAGAAATCCAATACAAGAACAGAATACTAAAAGCCGTCAGAGACAAGAAACAGATCACTTACAAGAGAACACCCATCAGAATTACAGCAGACTTCTTGGCACAAACCATCAAATCACGAAGAGCATGGGGGGAAATAATTCAAGCTTTGAAAGATAATAATCTCCAGCTAAGACTGATATATCTTGCACAACTATCCCTGGAAATTGATGGAAAAACAAGGTGCTTCCAGGATAAAGAGGAACTAGGGGAATATGCAACCACCAATCCAACTCTACAGAGAATACTGCAGGATATTCTAAAAAAGAAAAATACGAAGAATCCAGAAATAGTAGCAGAGAGGCCACAATGAATGGAGCAGAAAACAAAATGAAGAAGACAAATTGACAACTAATGACAGAAAAAGAGCTCAACAGAAATGAGGCAGAGAAGATTGGATGATAGGAACAGCTATTTTGGAGAAAATGACATCTTAATAGGTAATACTGATTTAGTATCATCTTGTTTTGAAGTCTCATCAAGCTTTTGTTCTTCTGTCTCCATTGGTCTAAACAGGTTATATCTTATTGGATTTTATTATATATGATAGTATAAGCAAAAACTTTTATAGACAAGGAGATTATACAGAAACCATTGTTCATTTTCTGTTAGTTGATTCTGAATACCCTGTAATACTGTCATTCTCTTAAATGGTTTTACATTGTTTTGATATATTTGATGCTACAGTA